CACGAACACTGGCTGTAAACTCTTGCGGAAACTTCTGGTAGTTCATCGACTTATTTTGCATATTTGCAAAATAACTGTCTGTGTTAATTTTTGTAAAGTGGCTTTTGCTTCACGAACACTGGCTGTAAACTCTTGCGGAAACTTCTGGTAGTTCATCGACTTATTTTGCATATTTGCAAAATAACTGTCTGTGTTAATTTTTGTAAAGTGGCTTTTGCTTCACGAACACTGGCTGTAAACTCTTGCGGAAACTTCTCGTTGTTCATCCACTTCCCTTGCATATTTGTTACCAAAAAATTCGCAATGGTAAGGAATTGATTTCATCCAACAAGATGAAACTGGACAAATTTGTTTGTGCTGTTTGTACCTTGAGGATACATATTTAGTAGTGCTATAAGTACTGTTAAGAAAACTACTCTGGGTGAAAAAAGTATTGCACATATCAATTTCATACTGATTGTGCTTGTTTACTAATTATTAAATAACAGTATAATTATATGTTGTAGTAGTCTACTAATAATAAAAATAACCATCAATTATTTATATTTATGTTATGTATGATATGTGTATCTTTCATAGCAGTATTTGTATGCGCTAAATTTGATAAAGTACAAATGTCACCCCCCCCCCCTCCCCCCCCCCCGCTCCTCTGATGCAAGAATACCCTCTCTCAGAATCAAAGAGTTAGCACTGATATTTCTTTACTTTTGCTGGAACAACTTTTAGTTTTCCTCTAAACGTTATTGATATTTATGTTCATGTTGACTGTAGCAAAAGCATTTTTGTTTGTCTGTAAGAGCCTTTATTGTTATATTTATTCGGCACACTTAATTACCTTAAAAATGACGTATAGTTCTATAAAATATGTAGAAAATTAATGAAACTGTAGTTTAATTTGTGTATATATCTCCTCAATAAAAACTGTTAACACAGAGGGATTCCATTCTTGCACAAGAACGGGAATGCCCGTTGACCCAGTTGGCCTATTTATAGCTAAAGATGGCCGTGCTTCTACTGATGATTGGCAGACTCCTGCTGTACATGCTCCCATATGGAGTTTCTTCTTACTTAATGGTCCAGTATCTCTGTTCGTGTGAAATGACGGTCATGTTTTCGTGTTGAATGACAGTTTAGCAGTGTACTTTTATTCCGTGGCACGCCTGGACTGTGGAAATAAATTTGGTGAATCGTGGGTTTGACTTCAGAATGATGTCAGTGGGATTATCTAGAATGGACGGTTGTGTGTGTTGGAGTCGTCAAATCTGTAGCTATGTGTGTGTTGCGGGAGGGAAAGGAGGGGGTGGGTTAGGGCCCGTTCTAGATGTTCTGGGGTCGTTGAAAGCTGTGTCGTCGTGGAATATAGAACATGCGACATCGGCGCTAATGTAACTGGAGGCGAGACAAAGTGACATCCCTCCGAAGTGGAAGAGTCTGAGGAAGTATGAATAAAAGGTCAGCCACTGTGTAAATGAGCCGGGAAACGTGAATTGAACCGTTTTGGGATTATTACCTTGTTACTGTGCCTGGCTGGTTGTAATGCTCTCTGTTTGGGTTGACCTTCCCTTACCACAGTAATTATCACCATCAGCATGTGACGTGCCAGTAAGAATGTGCGGCTATGGTTCTTCTTCCGAGGGAACCCCGTGTGTAAGTGTGGAGGGCTGATATTTATAAACAATTCTCCTAGATACTTGGTAGGTATGCGATACCTCTCCCGATCGCATACGTCACATTACAAAGAGTTTTCGAGATATGTATTAAACTGCGAATGCAAGACTTTTGAATCGCGCCGTAAAGATAGAATGAATACCTGCTTAAAGTAAGTATAGATCCATTCCCACCCAAACAGTGCTAGAACTCTAATATAGGGACTAATCGATTGATATGGTCATCATCCCACTCATACAGTGCTAGAGCTCTGTCTTATAGGAACCAATTAATTAATATGGCAACATCCTACCGGCCACCCACACTTCCCAGGAGTTTACTTAGTACCCAAAAAAGGCTGGGTCTCCCTAAGAGCCAAGGTCAATTACTGAAGGTGGGAAAATGCCCGGCTCTGTTCGGATTTGAACCCACGACCCTTGGATCCGCACAAGTCCTTGTAAGCTGGAACCATACGTCTTCTCCTAGCTTCAGTTATTCACCGCACGCTTCCCACGATAAATACTTTAATCTATCCCTCACTTGTGTTCTCTCAATTGATATGGAAAATAATGGCAAGCTAGCTAAAACGAACACCTGTGCAGTCTGTTGTTCATTAACTTCAAATCCCTGTCACAACTGCTAATTTTTACAATAATAAACGTGTTCTCTAGCCCTGTTATCCCACTTTAGCACCCGTGTCTCTGTCCCGTCCGCATGTGTTAGTGAAAGGTGGCGCGTTGCCACAGTTACCTCCCCGTGCGCTCACCAGCCGCGCAACAAACGAACGTCCGCCGCGGCCCTACGCCTGTCAGTATCACGTGACTCAAAATGGCATCCATGTAAATTATCTCCGTGTTAATATCTCAAGTGCCTAGTTAAACGATTATTTGCTCAATACAAGTCCGGGCCGATCGATGCAAGATTGTAAATTTGATTGTTTTAATATTGTAGTTTGTCTCGTCTTAAGTTTTGTAGATTGTGTTGTCTTAGTGGGCTAGACTGGTTTTAGTCTAAGTTTGTAGATCGTGTTATATTATGGTTCTAGATTTTTTTCCCTCAAGTCCTGTAGATTGTAGTCTTCGTCCTGTAGATTGTAGTCTTTGTCCTGTAGATTGTAGTCTTCGTCCTGTAGATTGTAGTCTTCGTCCTGTAGATTGTAGTCTTTGTCCTGTAGATTGTAGTCTTCGTCCTGTAGATTGTAGTCTTCGTCCTGTAGATTGTAGTCTTTGTCCTGTAGATTGTAGTCTTTGTCCTGTAGATTGTAGTCTTTGTCCTGTAGATTGTAGTCTTTGTCCTGTAGATTGTAGTCTTTGTCCTGTAGATTGTAGTCTTTGTCCTGTAGATTGTAGTCTTTGTCCTGTAGATTGTAGTCTTTGTCCTGTAGATTGTAGTCTTTGTCCTGTAGATTGTAGTCTTCGTCCTGTAGATTGTAGTCTTCGTCCTGTAGATTGTAGTCTTCGTCCTGTAGATTGTAGTCTTCGTCCTGTAGATTGTAGTCTTCGTCCTGTAGATTGTAGTCTTTGTCCTGTAGATTGTAGTCTTTGTCCTGTAGATTGTAGTCTTCGTCCTGTAGATTGTAGTCTTCGTCCTGTAGATTGTAGTCTTTGTCCTGTAGATTGTAGTCTTCGTCCTGTAGATTGTAGTCTTCGTCCTGTAGATTGTAGTCTTCGTCCTGTAGATTGCTATCTTCTTAGTGTGATTGTATTGTATTCCTTCTTCAGATTGTATTGCCTTAGTGACATAGATTGGGCTATTCAAGAACTGTAGATTTCTTTCATTAGTCCTTAGATTGTGTTTTATTAGTCATGTAGGTTAAATTATCCGAGTTCTGTGTTATCTCAGGCCTGTAGATTGTAGTACTCTAATCCTGTAGTCTATACTGTATAAGCTGCATAGATTGTAATATCTCAGTCCTTGATATTGTACTGTCTTAATCCTGCAGATTATTGTCTTCGTCCTGTATATTGTAGGCTGCATTAATTTAGCACATGTTTTTTTTTTTATATACATTGTCTTCTTTCCAGACGATAGTTTTCTTTTGTGTTGTGTGGAACAACCGACCGACACGAAGATGGACACAGGATATAGGTGGCTCATTGAGTGTGAAAGAACATGAGGCGGGAGAACTGGCGAGAGACCGAGTTTCTTTCAGGCGGACTGTGATGAGAGCGACGATCTGCAAAGGACCGGCTACATGATGATGATGGAACAAGTAGCGATGGCGAGTGTGACTAGCAGAACCCGCTCAAGTTAAAAATAATCCGCCGGTTAACAAAGACATATAACCATGTAACCACCATATCTGATTTGATTCAAAGATTAAGTATGGTCACTGATTGATTTACTTCTCCCCATAGTTCAAAGACTGGGCAATATTGTAGAGCCCACGAATTCCCTGGCAGTAGATGCTCTTCGGCTTGCTTTGTTAAGAAGAGGTAACACCAGTACGTTTTGAACAAAGCATGCTACAGAATAGCAGCGTTCTGTCTGTCTGCTTGTCAGAGCTTCCCTTATAGACCAGTTGGCAACCAAGGCTAACGGTTTTGTCTGCCCTGCCATAACATGAGAAGTTTTCGGGTGGCATTTCCTAGGATAAGCACACCTCCGCCCAAAGCAGTTTGTGCAAGTCAGATGTCAGCTTTGTCATACCCAGTGAGACATTCAGCTTTCACAGAGACAGCTAGTACCCAATATTGCTGATTCTACGCATTTTTATTTAATGCCTATGTACGTCGACTTAGCGCAGTCGATAAGAGGCTCGCTTTCAAATCCAGCTGCGACTCGCTGCAGCACACGGTCGGTGTTCGAAACCGGGCGGTTCCCGGGGTTCACCCAGCCTCTAGGAAAAGGGTACTAGTGTTGACACTCTGGGGTAAATGGAGGAACGTCGCTGTAGCTCCAGAGTTACGTGCGAACGGCGACACAGGTGGAAAATTCTTATCAGCTGTCCGCAATGGTGGCAGAGAACTTATGGTTCATAACCGTGTGCAATGAACCTCGTTCACGTCTCCCGACTTTACATTTTTCAACTTTTTCAAGCAGGGTAACGTTTTCCCAGCAATTCTCAGTTATGCATTTGATTCTCTGACTTCTCTTCTGAATCTCCCTGATTTGTTATTTTGTCATTCATTAATCGATAGAGTATAAGTTTTAAAATTGCAATTTAGCTAAATGAGTCAACATTCGAACAAAAAAAAAAACAATAACAACATTAACATTAAACACAACAGCAATAACTGCAACAACAAAATTATTATAGCATCAGTGAAAATAAATTTACCCAGAAATTAGTTGTAGAGATGGAAAACACGTAAACTCGTATGTCTAATGACGTGGTGTATGACGGTATACTTTCAAACGGAACCGGAAATGTTGACCGCAAACATGGCGGTATTTACCGCCAATCCAACAAGGGCCAAGAAACCAAAAGCGCCATAGCGTCGATTGGCGGGATCTGATCAGAAGGAGAGAAAACTTATGTAAACAGTTTATTGAACTATATACAAACGATAGTTTTTCAAGACTCCTTCCTCATTTTTTTTTTTTTTTATGTTCTTCATTCTTCTCATTCACTTATCCTCATCGTCTCTCTTACCCCTTTTCCTTTTCATCTTCTGCTTCTTCTTTTTCTCCTTTTTCTCCTCCTCCTTCTTCTTCTCCTTCTTCTTCTTCTTCTTCTTCTTCTTTTTTTCTTCTTTTTTTTCTTCTTTTTCTTCTTCTTCTTCTTCTTCTTCTTTTTTTCTTCTTCTTCTTTTTCTTCTTCTTCTTCTTCTTCTTCTTCTTCTTCTTCTTCTTCTTCTTCTTCTTCTTCTTCTTCTTCTTCTTCTTCTTCTTCTTCTTCTTCTTCTTCTTCTTCTTCTTCTTCTTCTTCTTTCTTCTTCTTCTTCTTCTTCTTCTTCTTCTTCTTCTTCTTCTTCTTCTTCTTCTTCTTCTTCTTCTTCTTCTTCTTCTTCTTCTTCTTCTTCTTCTTTCTTCTTCTTCTCTTCTTCTTCTTTTCCTCTTCTTCTTCTTTTTCTTCTTTTTCTTGTTCTTTTTTCTTCTTTTTCTTCTTCTTCTTCTTCTTCTTCTTCTTCTTCTTCTTCTTCTTCTTCTTCTTCTTCTTCTTCTTCTTCTTCTTCTTCTTCTTCTTCTTCTTCTTCTTCTTCTTCTTCTTCTTCTTCTTCTTCTTCTTCTTCTTCTTCTTCTTCTTCTACTTCTTCTTCTTCTTTATCCCCTCCTCCTCTTCGTTCGCGTCTGTGTGTGCATGTATGTATCTGAGTGTATATATGTGTGTGGAATGTGCGTGTCTGTGTGGGTAGGTCGGCATGTAAATGGGTGAATGGAGGTGTGTTTATGTGTGTGTGAATGTATGTGGGTGTGTTTAAGTGAGGTAATGGATGTATGTATATGTGTGTGTGTGCATGCATTTTACCACCCATGCTTTTGTGGGGGAGTGGGAGGAGTTGGGGGGGGGTGGTTCCCTTGTTGTTGTTGTTGTTTTTTTTTTTTTTAATATTCATAATATGTAAATTATCATATGAAAATAACATGCTTGTGGATAAAATACAGTTGTAGTGTGAAAGACGTTTGTTTGGAATTGCCGAATGTAAGACGGGCCTGCGTGCCCCAAATTGTGACCCTTTGAAAATAAATTTCGTTCGTTTGTTCGTCCTCCTTCTTCTCCTCCAACTCCTCACCGTTGATGTTAGAAAGGACCAAATTTGAGAGGGAACTACCTAGCCATGGCGTTACCAGGAGGGAGAAAAAAAAAACTTCTTTTCTTTTTTCCATCTAGACAATGCTTCATGTGATGTGTACGCCTTTTGTGCGCGACCGCCAAGATCAACATTTGGCCCATTTTCTATTACATAATTCAATTAATTAATCCTTCAATTAGTTCCTTCAATTATTGCCACATATTAAATAAAAAAGAGGGGGGTGGGGGGAGAGAGGGGGGGGGCGGTGAAACCCACTGCTTTATAGCATTGGGCATATAGTAAATAAAGGACAAGTTTCCCCCCTTCCGACGTGATGGGCGTATATGGCTAGAACTAAATTTTATAGACCTATCAGCATTTGGCGTGTTTTGTAGTCAGCATGGCCCAGTCGCCTTCACTTCCCAGGCATTTCCTAGTGCCCATTTCAGGTTAACTCGTTGTCAAAGCCAGTGTCAAGTCTGCAGAAAGAAAATTCGCCCTCACTATGGATTAAAGCCGTATAGAATCATTAGCTTTGGGAGAAAAATCAACAAGTTCCAGTTGACCACTATGTGAAGCCAAGACGCTGACGTTGGATAAGACACACGCTGAGAAAACCTAAAAACAATATAACTAGTATGTCTTTGCATTGGAACCCACAGGACCATAGAAATTTAAGGCAGATCCATGAAAATGGAGAGGTGTGAAGTTAAAAGATAAAAAGGCAACACCCGGCTACTACCTGAAGGTTTACCGTTCTCTCCTAGAGATCTGCGGCGTCCGTGGCTAAGGCGTTGCGAGTCCGACTCGTAATCCAACGTACCGCGATCGAAACCCACTGCGGGCTGCGTGGAATTTTATAGTGGTATGGGATGGCGCAGGTCGACCCAGCCTCAAATGGGTACCGATGGCTGTCCTGGGATAGTAAAGACGGCCGGCGTAATGCTGACCACATCACCCACCTAGTGCCGATTGGACTATAAAAATATAGGTCTAGTCCTATATGCCCTATATACCTAAAAGCGTGGAAAAGGGTCCTTTATTTTACTTTTACCTAGAGATTTAAAAAAAAAAATCAATCTAGACGGTAGACCAACCTGGCAGGTCAAAGATTTCCCCTTTCAGCCGCCACAGAAATCCCATCTTTGTCTTACTTGCCATCTACCCGTTTAACAAATCCACACCTAAGGCAGCAACAAGACCTTAGGCCCTGCTGTTTTGGGGACAGATACCCCAGCCACGTTTAACCTGCAGTCCTATAAGGGTGAGGATCGGGTTATCCCGACCGTGACCTACATCTGTAGTTTAGAGTGGAACCTGTACTCACTGAAGGTGTAATATCCGAAGGCAAAGATGATTCTGTTGATCAGGTAGATCACACCAAACACAGCACTCAGTTTCTGCAAAGATCATATCAACAACTAGGTTTTTTGAGGTTTTGAACAACAATTAGGTTTTTTGAGGTTTTGAACAACAATTAGGTCTTTTGAGGTTTTTAACAACGGATCACCATCATGGCCACGGGTTGTAACTCATAAGTGCTCCGTTCTACTTCTAACCCAAGTCTGAGTCCAAAGAAGCTAAGCACAGTGCACAGACTCTGTAGCACCGGCGAAGATCCTCCAAATTTAGCCCGGGTAGCGCCGTTGGGCTATTATTTTTTATTGCGAACTGTCCAGGGATTTTTTTTACGTGTGCAACAATGCACACGCGCAACCAATCTCGCTCCCCAGAGACCAGCTTGAAATACTAGAAGTCCGCGTCTACGTGAAAAATTCCCAGCTCTAACCCGAAACCTCTAACACTCGGAGATGACCACGCAGCTCCCATCAACAATTATTATGTTGCAAATGTTTTATGACGGTCATTGACTGCTTGTCAACTAATTATGATGCCCCCTGTGTGATTTGGACATGACACGACAAGGAATAATCTTGAGAGCTTGGTAACGACTGTCAAAAACTGATTGAAAGAGAGCCAGGGAAAGGTAAATATATCAATACGTGGATAGTATAGTCCCAGGTCATGCAGACGTTGTTGCTAATGAGAAAGCTGATAGACTAACAGATGCTGCATTAATTAAAGATGGCTGGCCCATGGATCACGCAGACATTGTTATTGCAGTTAGAGAGATAGGACGTTCTGCTTAGAATACGCGAATTGGGAGTAAAGATCGGCACAGCCAAGCATTAGAAGCACACTGGACGCACACGAAGTCTTATTAACCAACATAGGGCTGGTGCTATTAACCACACGACGCTGATGAATATATTGAGAGGGCATCTGATCGCCCATGGATGTGTCCGGAGTGCTGACTGGTCTGTATAAATATGAGACGAGAAATATGTGCCCGGTGTCCTAATAACGCATTTAAAGTCCTATAAATTATTCACGTATTTATAATTTCTAAAAAGGTAAAATGTGTACACAGTCTGTGCAGCACGAATCAAACTTACAGGAAGATGAAGGCCGCCCAGCAGAAGAAGCACAAGGAATTGTGGGTAAACTTCCAGTCTGAAAGATACCACGTGTTACTAATTATTATTATTATTATTATGAATTTCATCATCATTGTGGTTAAATTATTTATCATTATTTTTAAACAGTTATCATCAGCGATAAAGAGTTTTCTAGCTGCAACGTTCATTTGTGGTTAGATTTTGTGTTAATGTTAATATGACTGTTTAAACAAGTTGTCTGCATTGATGTCCGTTGATGGTATTACTAATGCGGCTACGTTAGCGCAGAGGATAGTACACATGGCTGACGACCACGTGTTCACTTTTTTGAACCTGCTGTATAACGAATGTTAAATGCCAGTAAATGTTCTGGTACACAAAGATAGCGATATTACCCATATCAGTAATCAACTAGTGATTGGTCCAAGACAATATGAAGTAAACATCATATCCCCCATAATAAGCCATAAGAATAGTATTTTTTTTTCTCCTTTTTTTAAACATTTCTATAATTACAGTTTGTATAATTAACTATTATAAACAAACAGACAATGTATTGATAGACACTCATAGAGAGATAGAAGGACACCCTAGGCGACATAGAAATCGAAAGTTATAGCTACCATGCTGGGAATCGAATCTCTAACATCCAGGTGGCGTGAGCGAGTCGCCATAAAACAAGTGTACCAAGAAACGTAATCAACTAGGTACCCCTAAAAATAGGTCTCTTCACTGGCCATGTATCGTAAACCTTGAAATTCAATACAGACACAGAACGTTTTTGGCAATTTAAATGGCACGACAGGTTAAACAGAAATGTATATTAAACAAGTAACGGTCAAATAACAAGCACGACAACAATAATAAACATGTCAGACCGTAATGTTGTGTCTTGATTACAACAATTATAAACATGTCAGACCGTAATGTTGTGTCTTGATTACAACAATTATAAACATGTCAGACCGTAATGTTGTGTCTTGATTACAACAATTATAAACATGTCAGACCGTAATGCTGTGTCTTGATTACAACAATTATAAACATGTCAGATCATAATGCTGTGTCTTGATTACAACAATAATAAACATGTCAGACCGTAATGCTGTGTCTTGATTACAACAATTATAAACATGTCAGACCATAATGCTGTGTCTTGATTACAACAAACATTTGAGAACGATAACTGACTGGTTGATTTCGTTGTGTGACACGGAAATAAGAAGGTGACTACCAGCAGGCTCTGGAATGTAGATGGCATTGTTGAAGCATGGGAATTAACCGGTAGGACACGGTATTGGAATGTAGATGGCGATGTTGATGTATGGGAATTAACCTATAGGACACGGTATTGGAAAGTAGATAGCAATGTTGATGTATGGGAATGAAGATGTAGGAAATGGTATTGGAATGAAGATGGCAATGTTGATGCATGTGAATTAACCTGAAGAAAATGGTACTGGAATGTAGATGGCACTGTTGATGCATGGGAATTAACCTGTAGGAAACGGTATTGGAATGTAGATGGCAATGTTGATGCATGTGAATTAACCTGTAGGTCACGGTATTGGAATGTAGATGGCATTTTTGATGTATGGGAATTAACCTGTAGGAAATGGTATTAGAATGTAGATGGCACTGTTGATGCATATGAATTAACCTGTAGGTCACGGTATTGGAATGTAGATGGCAATTTTGATGCATGGGGATTAACCTGCAGGAAACGGTATTGAAATGTAGATGGCAATGTTGATGCATGTGTGAATGTGAATCAATATTTAATGTATGCCCACTCACGTGTTCAGGTGAGCTCTCTGGATACAGTTAAACTCCAGACACTTGTCAGAGTACATAGTCGGGTACTGAAACCAGGTCAGCAAGATTGACAATAGCACCTCACATTCTCTATATACAGTGGAACCTCGCTTAACGAGCATAATTCGTTCTAGAATCATACTCGTTTAAGCGAAACACTCGTTATGCGAAACAATTTTTCTCATATCAGTGATTGTAAAATACGATAATGCGTTCCATGTCGAACACAAAATGCTATGTATAACTTTTATTCAAAAAAAAAAAATTATATAAATATTGTTAAGGAGAGTGAATCATCTTCATCTTTTCTTCAAACGCGGAACGAACCCATCTGGAATGCGAATTAAATTTGCAAAAAAAAAATAAAAGGCGAAATAATTATGATACATAGCTGATTATTTTTTTACTATAAAGATGTCCAGAGACATTTGTGTGTGGTTTTTATTTTCCGACGCTTCAAAATTTGGCGGAAATGCGACACAGCATTATCATTTAATAACTTTGCAGCGCGCTAGCCACTTCCTTGTTATGGTGATGCTTCTCAATGTCAGATGCAACAGTTTGTCATGCTTTCAGCATTTCTCTTATTTCGCCAGAAGATTGTTGCTTTTCTGTTACCTTATCCTCCTCCTCTGACAAACGTTCCTCCAAAACTTCTTGCTGTGAAACACAATGCAACTCTAGAAGCTCTTCGATGGTTAGCTCTTGGCTGTGCTCTTCCACACGCTCTCGATATCACTGTTATCCACCTACAATCCCATGATAGTGGCCAAAGACACAGTCTCGTTGACTGCAGGTTCCACAGGTACTGTCTCGAACCCCTTAAAGTCACACAAGTCGACAACGCTCTCCGGCCAAAGCATCTTCCAAGCAGGGTTCTCTTGTTAACTCCTCCCCCTCCTCCCCCCCCCCCCCCGCCTTGTCGAACATCTTGAGGCAGGCAACGATGTGGAAGTGATGTTTCCAAAACTCTTTGAGAGTTTGGTCGCTTTGGTCCCTTCAGTCACCTGAAAACAATGCTGGAAGAGTGCTTTAGTGTAGAGCTTCTTAAAGTTAGAAATAACTTGATGGTCCATGGGAAGGAGTAACGGAGTGGTGTTGGGAGGCAGAAACTGGATCTTGATGAACTTAAATTCTTCCTGGAGGTCATCTTTTTGGCCTGGAGGATTCATGTACATATATCACAATATAACACAAGTTTGAGAAAATGTGTGATCACAAGCGACACTACGATGCTACTGGAACGTGTGCTAAACACAGATTGATGTAACAGGCGCACAATCCGGGATTTCCCCTCTCCTCGCCACTAGTCATGCGAAACGTTAAGCAAGTCATTCTTTTACCATTTGTTTTGCTCGTTATGCGAATCACTCGCTATGAGAGGTGCTCTTTAAGCGAGGTTCTACTGTATTTGTTTTTATGGTCAGACTGCATTCAGTAGCAATAATAACAACAAAATCAAAATCCGAGTAGTTGTTGATGTTTCTGAACAAACAAAATTAATCATATAACAGCTTATTGTGTTTGTTTAATTAAGCCTTTCCAACTTTACAATAATTAATATATGCCTTGCCTTTTTTTTCTTTGCACAATAGAACATACACCCCCCTCCCCCTTCCCACACGCACACATAAACGCACAATACCCCCCTGCACCCCACCTTTCCCTCTTTCTCTTCCATCTATTTTTTGAAATAATTAAATCCTGACCTAAACGTTTTTGAGTATTTGGTTTCAGCAGCTGTTGTACCGTCAACCTGCAGACGTTCTGAGAGAGTCGTAATCTGTACCTACATTATCTCTTTCAGTCCTAAACAACTGATAGTTGGAAAGGATGGGCTAGATAAGATGACGCAGTAGTGTACACCCATGGTTCTGTTCCTCAGGGTGTAGGATCTGGCTGCGGTTTTCAGCTAGAATAAAGCGACAAATTGTGGCAGAACAAAACACAGCTTTTTTATCTTCAATTGTAGGCATGAGAATGGAAGTGGGGACAATAACTGAGGCTCTGAAGTGGATAGAAGAAAACAAAGTTGCCAGAGGAATTATTTTTGTTAAAAGTGAACTAATGTGGTATGAGTGGATATCATGAGTCAGTACGCCAACATTGCAGGGAATCACGTGGATATACTGCCTGGGACATGCTGAAGTGTCAGGGCATGAAAGAGCGGATTTTCTGGCTACAAAAGCGAAAGCTAGGGGAACACTCGTATTGGACAAGGGAGATATTCTGCTACTCTGAAGACCATATATGAACGACTTTTGACAGAAGACACAAGAATAGATGAAATAACATTGGCACGAATGAGTGAAAGAGGAAAGTGTGTATCCGGCAAGGAGGGACGGATAAGAGGAAGAGATCGGCATGAGTATAATCAGTGTGCTACGGGAACAGTTAGCATCTACACCTCACGTAATGTGCTGCGGGAGACGGAGCATCTTTGGGTATGCCCGGTGTGCTATGATGTCGATTCTTAAATCAGTAAATTTTTTTGCGAGCATTTGTTTATATTAACTAAAATATGATTTAGTATAAAGTATTTGAGATCATGAGACAAGGGCAACTTTGACTAACAAATCAGATATAAAAAGTTACTGTAACACTTGAAGGGATTCAAGCAATTTAGGAACCACATCATCCTTTAAAAAAAACCCCACAGACGCATGGTACTTTCATCTGCAGATCTGCTAACTGGTTTTAAAAGACTTTGGCAAGACCCGGTCTATATACTCATACCAATCGCTGCAACAAAAATCTGTTTAATCACAGCATTTACTCAGCCACACAGTACCCACTCAGCCACACAGTTTCCACTCAGCAACGCAGTTTCCACTCAGCAACGCAGTTTCCACTCAGCAACACAGTACCCACTCAGCCACACAGTTTCCACTCAGCAACGCAGTTTCCACTCAGCAACACAGTACCCACTCAGCCACACAGTTTCCACTCAGCCACACAGTTTCCACTCAGCAACGCAGTTTCCACTCAGCAACACAGTACCCACTCAGCCATACAGTAACCATTTAGCCACACAGTACCCACTCAGCCACATAGTACCCACTCAGGCATACATTAACCATTTAGCCACATAGTACCAACTCAGCCACACAGTACCCACTCAGCCACACAGTACCCACTCAGCCACACCAGAAACCATACAGCCACACAGTACCCACCTCTTTCTAAATATTATTTGGTGAGGCCCTAACCTCTTCTGCGGTACGAATCTCATATTATTGTCATTATTGTCCAAACAACGAAAACTGATTCCTGCAGAAATCAAATATAAAACTGGAGTCTCGTGGAATTGTTTAACGAAGTCTTTAGTTTCTAAACCGCATACCAAAAAAAAAAAGACACAATGCAAACAATACGAACACATTTGCAATAGTTCAACACTTACCGGAACATTGTACTTTTTTCTGGCCAACACCACACAGAGAGTCAGGTACCCAACCCACAACCAGCTGGCAAGTACAACATAAATGACGTAAGCAAAATCTGGGTGTACAGCTATCGTCGCCATGTTGTTGTGGTTGTCTGTCTACAGCAGCAAGATCTTGTGTCCACTTTTTCCTTAGATACTGTTAACTGAAGGATACGGGTTTAAACCCACTACGTTCATAACTTACAATTTCTTAAATCAGTTGGTTCACATTTCTACTTTCTTTCTATGTATTGGATGAGCACCAATCAATCCTAACGACTTAACTGCTGCTATTACGCTGCCAACAGCCTGCTTGTTTGTGATGGCGGAGAATGTTGTCGAATGCACCAGCGCGGACAGAGCTGTATTGACCCCAGTCTACACGTACTTCACATTAAAAAAGAAGGTAAATCATTTCAGGGGCGTTGCCAACAACCTGACAAAAGAGCCATGTTTTTAAATAATACGATCAGAATTGTTAAACTAGTAGTCGCTGTGGCGTTGCGGCTAGACGCGGATCGGATGGTCGTGGGTTCGCTCCCTGGCCGAGATGAACTTTTTTTCAAAAATGACCTTGACTCCTAGGTCTACCCAGCCTTGAGTGGGTAACTGTACAGTCCCGGGAAGTAAAGGTGGTCGGCGTGATGCTGACCGCATCACCCATCTTGTGACGTTTGATCTGTAAAAATATATGTCTAGCCCTATATGCCATATAGGCCTAAAGGCGTGGAAAACGGTTGTTTACTTTTTTTTTTTGGGGGGGGGGGGGGGGGGGGGGGGGGGTTTAAACTGAACATTTTTTTGCCTGAAATTTTTGGCTGTATCTCAGGTACTCAATTATTCGTAGTTCCAACTTCATAGGCAATGGTTCACCCCATAGCTGCTTCGTTCCTGTGCCAAAGAAAACTCACAGAATGTCCAGTCACTGTGCCTTGTGGGAAAAACTGACACAGACTGAAGAGGGTCTCAACAAATCCAATGGCGAACATAGGGATTGAATGCATAAGGCAGCTGTCAGAAGTGCCAACACAAACATACATCGGGTAGCAAGGGTTGGTATGTACAGGTCCCACCGAAAAAAATGGGAAATACCAGCGCGGAACAAGTAGCCTCTGCCAATCAAGTTGTCGCATGACAGCCCACACCCCTCTAGTCCTGCACCTGTCCACATCTTGTACACCTATTTTCTTCTGTTCCTTTTGTTTCTATATCTTTCATTCTTTCTTTTTTATCTTTCGTCATTCCTTCCATTCTTTGTAAAATTGCCTTGTTTATTTCCGATTGCTACCAAAGAGGCATGCGAGCATTGTAGATCTATCAAGGGAGGTAACAATCTAAAAACAATATTGAGCACTAAAATCATAATATTCTCCCTTGGAAATGTTATTTTATAAAAGCAAAACATTTGTGATAAGAAATACCTGTATCCTGTCCAGTTTTGTTTTCTTTTGATTGCACAAGATTAAAGAGACAAGCCTCTTTATTCCCCCCCCCCCCTTTCTAAAAAAAAACCGCATTTGAAGATAAAAATTGTATTTTAAGCGCATCTGACATATGTGTGACAAGATGTATCCAAATCATCCCTTTGCGAGATGCAATAAGCAGCAATTCATCCTTTTTAGGATGCAATTTTTCGTGTTTTTTTTAACGAAAACCCCCCCCCCCCCCCCCCCCCCCCCCCCACCAGCTTTTGCCGGGGGCCCTGAATATAGCTGGGCCACAAATGCATTTTGGCGCTTTGTGTCACCGCATGTTTATCGCTTGTAATATCCTAGTTGGCTACAACTTATCTACCTTCCTATATCCCTTGAAGATAGCTTTTCGATGTTTTCATTAATGGATATCTTCATTGCTACAACATGTTTCGATGATTTGACAGCCCGTGTGACTTAAGGACTTGCATCAAGGATGCCAAACCAACCGGTCAAGTCCACCTCCAGAGATCTTATCATTCAGAAACCTCTGTGGTACAGGCACTGCGAACATTGCGGGGTGCCAGGTTCGACCCATATTGGTGATGCTGTAGCAGCATACCGCCTGGTTTTAATAGTGGTATCGAGAGGTGACCCCACAGTGATTTGTGTGCAGTGTAGTATTATTCTTCTAATTTCTTATTTATTTATTTTATTTTCTGGTCACAACCCCAACCATCGCATTCCCATACACAAGTTAAAGTTTCACGATCAAACACAAGATTTATAGTTTTCGTTCACATCTTTATTGACTGACATAAAAAACCTGACTTATAAGGAAATTATTTAACAAAATTTTAACACTGAAAATATTTCACTTAGTTTACATTACAAGGCATTTTATTAGCAAAATATCAGTTGACTTGTACGTCACGTTCATGGTGATTGGACTACAAAAACTCATTTATTAAAAGTGATTGCACTACAAAAACTCATTTATTAAAAGTGATTGTACTGTTGACATGGCGTGAAGTAGCACCATTTACATCATCATCATGTAGCAGGTCCCTCGCAGAACGTCGCTCTCATCACAGCCTGCGTGAAACTCAGTCTCCGAGCAGATCTACCGCCTCGTGCACTTTCCTGTCCAAGGTGTCACTTCTATCCTGTGCCCATCTTCGTGCTGGTCGGCCCTGCCTCTCTTTCCTGTTACAATCCTTTATGTTACAATTCTTTTCCACCCGCCGTGATGATTGATGTGTTTACTAGCCAATCTTCTCTGATGTTCAGATCTGTATGATGGCAGTATTTCACCAATTACAGTAGAGTTAAATCTCCCATAAACATATCTCTAAACTTGCTGAAATCAAGATCTGTGTCCATTAACAGAAATATAGGCCCTCACTCCAGCTGGAGCAAGCATCGCAGAAATGTAACGTGTGTGTGTGTGTGTGTGTGCGCGCGCGTGCGCGCGTCAACTATGGTCTCACAAAGGTATAAATGGCGGGAGATGCAATCTAAACAACAACTAAACATTAATACATGTGAAAAAAGCTACAAAGCATGTAACGTGTTCTTATGTCAAGTGTTACAAGTAAAAAAAAAGTAAAGGACCTTTTTCCACGCCTAAAGCGGGTAGGGCATATAGGGCTAGATCTGTATTTTATAGACCAGTCTGCACAAGATGGGTGGTCTGGTCAGCATCACGCAGGCCTCCTTTACTTCCCGGGACTGCATCCAGTACCCACTCAAAACTGGGTCGACCTAGGAGCCAAGGTCATTTTTGAAAAAAAGTCCAGCTACGCCAGGGTGCGAACTCCTGATCTTCCGATCCGCAAGCAAGCGTCTAGCCACTCCGCCACGACGACTGCCTATGTCAAGTATTAGACCTATAAATATTCTGGTTTACAATAAATGACGTGAGATAGCCTTGTCCTAAAACAGGTAGAATTTGCGGATGTAAACTATTAGACCTTTATATTTTCAAGGTGTCGGCTCTGTGGCTAAGTCGATGCGAACGCTTCGTAATGCCGGGATGCCGGGTTCGATTCCAGCTGCGCGCCATGCGCCTTGCATTGGTTTCGACAGTGGTATCAAGAAAGCCGACCGTCCAGGGAGCAATGACAAACTACTGGACGTAAATTTGCCTAGAGAAACCACATGTTAGGGTTGGTTCTGCAACGTCCTGTAAAGGATACGCAACAACCTTTTTTTTTTTTTATATTCAAGGTGAGAATTTAAGAGGCGGGGGTGACAGTTTTTCAGACTCTTCCCGGGGACAAAAAACGTTTTAACTGACTTTTGTGTGCCATTTTTAGGCAATTATAGCTTTTTTTTTTTTTTTACAACGGATAATCAACATCAGAACACAAGGGTAGTAACCCATAAATGCTCCGTTCTACTTCTAACTCAAGCTTGAGTCTGAAGAATCTCAGGGCCAAGAACGAACTCCATAGCACCGGCAAGGATACCAAAATACATTTTTTAAACTCTACATTTTGCCCGGATAGCGCAGTTGTGCTACTCGTGTCGATTTCCACCTGTCAAGGGATTTTTTTAGGTGCCGAACAATACACACGGGCGTCCCATTTTACTACCCAGTGAGCAGGGGAAATTACTAGAAGTCTACATAAACAAAAAATCACAGCCTTCACTGGGGCCTGAACCCGGGACCTTCAGTACTTGAGGCAGACGCCATGCTTCCAGACCACTCAGCCCCCGATCTGCACGTACGTTGAATGTGTGTATGTGTGTCTGTGTGTATGTGTATCTGTGTATATGTGTGTCTGTGTGTGTATGTGTATCTGTGTATATGTGTGTCTGTGTGTGTGTGTCTGTGTGTATGTATGTATGTATGTAAGTGTGTGTATGGATGTTTGCATTAAAAATGTCTATATGTGAGTGTGTATGTGTATGTTTGAGCATGTAAGAGTATGTGTACATGTGTGTTTGAGTGCGTATGATTTTGTATACAAGATATGTGTATGCATTATTTCATAATGTAAATTTTTATATAAACGTAACATGCATTATCGATAACGTGTAATGTGCTCTGAAATATAAACGCTTGGAAGAGCTGAGAGTAAGACGGGTCTGCGTACCCAATTTGTAACACTTTGAAAATAAAGTTTATTTGCTCGTTCCGCCCATCTACACACTAACTGACCTGTCACTGGTTTAAAGGGGTGTAGAATGCACTCTTTCGTCCGACCTAGGTTAAGTGTGTGGGGTGGTGGGGGGGGGGGGGGGGGGGTTGGATTGGCCAGTTGTACATGTTATAGGTTTGTTAAACCGCTCACATCCTGTAATATAGAATACGCGTGGTCGCCGGTAAGACCGTCGAGTTAATACAACGTCGCATATATATGTTAATGTTATTTGTGGTTGAAACAAACAACCATATCACAGCACTCTTGGCATTTCAACAAGTGCACGTCCCCCAACTTTAACAGCCACTAAGGATTCTAATACCATATTTTATTGGATCACAAGACATGTCATTAACATATCCCCAGACAAACACACAAACACACCCACACACACACACACCCACACACACACACACAAACACACTCCACACACATATTCTTACACAGCGATTATTTATTTATACTGACGGCTCTGTGTCAAGAGGCAAAAGAAGTGCTTGGAGTTTCTTAGCAAAAGCTGATGGTCGACGTTTGTTGCAGGAGAGCCTAGCATATGATACCACAACATCCAGCTTTCTGCAGCTTTTCCCTGGCCAGAAAACACCGCACACACACACACACACACACACACACACTCACACACGCGCGCGCACACAAAGACACACACACACACGCGCACACACACACGCACTCGCGCACAGACGCACCCACGCACACATATTGACTGTAACTGACTCAGAAAGCAGGTTGAGGAAGGTTAGGACAGGCACAATTCGTGCAGAGTGGCAAGCTTCGCTTCGAAGGTCACGGGTGAGGAGCCTTGTCTGGATCTTGTTTCCGAGGACTTGGTGATAAAATACGAGGAAGATGATGATGTTGATGCTCATAATAAAAACGTTGACCGCAAATTTGTGCAGAGAATCTCTAACTCGATTGAGGCAACATATGAAAGCAAGAAGTGCAAATGAATTCATGAGAGAAAATTGACAAATGCATTTGAAATAATAACACGAGTCAGACGGGGGTGTGCTTCTTGTTTACGCCATTTCTCTTACTGACTACACAATATATCTTCTTTTTCTTTTTCTTTTTCTTCATTTCTTCTTTCTTCTTCTTCTTCTTCTTCTTCTTCTGCTTCTTTTTCTTTTTCTTCTTCTTTTTCTTTTTGTTCTTTTTTGTTCTTCTTCTTCTTTTTCTTCTTCTTCTTCTTCTTCTTCTTCTTCTTCTTCTTCTCCTTCTCCTCCTCGTCCTCATCCTCCTCCTCCTTCTTCTTCCTCTTCTTCTTCTTCTACTTATTCTACTTCCTCGTCGATGTGTGTGCTTTTCGTCAAACACCATCAGCTTCAATAAATCTTGTCACAGCCATACACTTTAGGACATGCTTGTCAGAGTGCAGTGGATATCACACCACCCTGCCCCACCAGCCCCTCCCTACCAGAGCCAAGGATCCACACAGTCAAAGATTAGACAGAGTTATTGAACTTGCATTTCACAAGGATGCAACATATGCTTTCATAGCATTTAAACTCACTACCAGAATGTGAATGCTAAACTTAAATCACTTCCATTGTAAACTTCTATCGTACACTTCTATCGTACACTTCCATCGTACACTTCCGTCGTACACTTCTATCGTATAGAGCGGACACATGAAGACTGATAACTACAAACATGAAATAAGACAAGTCTGTCATGTAGAGAATAGGTGGAGATGACGAGATGAACTAGACATTTGCCTAGCTAATCACAATGTGAAGAACACATGATGATATTGGGTGTTCAAAGTGAAAGGGAAAAATAACTTGATAATGGTTTTACTAGATTATCCGTTTTCCTGAACTTACTTGGCAATAGAAATTGTTGGAAAACTAACAAAACGTAGTGACAATTTATTATATTCAAATACGAATACTGTTGGGTAGACAATGGGTCAGGAGAGGACTAAAGATAAGCAGGTTCGACTGAGGTTAGCACAGGACTTATACTACATTTAGGGACAGAAAAATAGAGGATTAGGACTACAGGACAACATCTGCTGACAACAGTCTTCAAGAATCATTCAGATATGTTGACACTGGAGGCTTTTTCTCCTGGCAGTACGCTAGGGTGCACAGGACACGCATATTTCTTAAAGCTTTTTTTTTTTCCTGGCAGCGCGCTAGGGTGCACAGGACACGCATATTTCTTAAAGCTTTTTTTTTTTTTTTTTCAAGGCTACTGGCATCAACACTATGTGGTGAATACAGACACCATCCGTGAGAAACTGCGATGTGTCATCGTTATCAAGTGCCTAGCCGAACCTCCTATCTTTACCAGCCCAAATGCACTCACCCCTCAATGCCATGGTAGAAGACAGTCGAGAATATGTTCATGCTGTCTTCCTCTGTCTCTTTTTCCACATATCTTTCAAGAGGTCACAACATGTTCCAGTTTCCGTGTCCTCATAACATGCCCAGAAATGATGACTGTCTCTTGCTGATGTTTGTAATGTTTTCTTCAAGCTCTCACCACTATCAAAATATCTGGGTTACTTTCTTTGACCGTGCCAGTGATGGGTCACTTTTGTATCTGGACAAAAGCCTTGCTGATAATACAGATTCTACATTAGGCTAGTAAATATTTAACAAGAACAACCACAATCGAAATCAGTGGATAGAAGAAAATGATAGATTGGGCTGCTATTTTCTCAGGAAGTGCCACATGGCAACTGGTTTTCGCAGTGACGTCATCATCTGATTCCAATGTGTGGACTCTGTGCCGGAAGTGTTGGCTCCAATAATCACATGACCTAAAGATGGCGTCTTGTTCTCAGACTGGTATTCGGCTACTGTGATACGCAGCTGAACACTCTGGAAACACACCAAAAAAAAAAAAAAAAACATGCATTGCATATCGATTTGTATTGTTTACTAAAACACGTTAAAATTTTTTTTTTTTTTTTTTTTTTTTGGGGGGTAGATTTTTGTCCTTATAAATATACAGTAAGTCTTTTATATTCTTTTCGTTTCTACTTGGAGTTGAGTTACATTAATTTTATTGTCTGAATCTTCTCAACGTATCCACACCTGTTGCTGTCTTGTTTCTTCTTGTCTCCTTCTATAGCAATTTCTCTAGCATTTTCTTCCCCGTCTGTCACAGTTATTCTTCTTTTCCTGCTCTTCTTCTTTCTACTACCACCACCGCCACCACCACCGCCACCACCACCGCCACCACCACCGCCACCACTACTTCTGTAATGGCTCTTTTATTTCCAAAATAACAGATACCAGTAATCAACAGATAGTGTCAATTATCAGTAAAGCTAAAAAAAATGATGTCTGAAAGGGACACTTTTACTGCCCACCATTGCATAGCCGCTGCTTCTTTTTCTTTTCTTTTTTCTTCTTTTTTCTTCTTCTTCTTCTTCTTCTTCTTCTTCTTCTTCTTCTTCTTCTTCTTCTTCTTCTTTTTCTTCTTCTTCTTCTTCTTCTTCTTCTTCTTCTTCTTCTTCTTCTTCTTCTTCTTCTTCTTCTTCTTCTTCTTCTTCTTCTTCTTCTTCTTCTTCTTCTTTTTTCTTCTTCCTCTTCTTCTTCTTCTTTTTCTTCTTCTTCTTCTCTTCTTCTTCTTCTTCTTCTTCTTCTTCTTCTTCTTCTTCTTCTTCTTCTTCTTCTTCTTCTTCTCCACACACTCACACCCACCAAACTACTTACATTTTGCTAAAACAAACTGCTTACCCCATGTCCTCCCCACAGTTTTAAGTTCACTCTCTAGCTCTTTTCTCTGTGTATTTTGGTCTTTATCAGTCTCTGCCTCTGTCGTATTAGATGACCTCCTGTATATGTCTCTCCTGTATATGTCTCTGTACGTAAGTAATAATGTATCAGTACAATGTGTGGCTGTCTGTGTGTGTCAGTATTAATGTGTGCTTGTTTGTATATATGTCTGTGACCATGTTTTTGTATGCCTGTCCGTATATTTAGCTGAATGTCTCAGAGAATGGATGTCTGCATGTCAGTGAATGTCTGTCTGTGACAGACCGTGTCTGACTGAGTCTGTAAGTCTGTCTGCCCTGACAGTAAACATACCGGCAAGGCTGAAGCTGGGACAGAGAAGATCATCGCCTCGTTGAAGATGGGGTTTTTCTCTCCTCGCTTGACTGAGGTTTTCTTCTTGCTGATCTTCTTGCCGTTGTGAAGCAGGTAGACTTTCACAAATGGATCTGTGGACACGTGGCAAGTTAGTGATTCTCGTTTTTATGGAAGGAATGGAGATCTACAGAATCACAGAGAAAACACATGAGTGGTAGAGCTACAGAGGGAGGAATATGGGAGAGCCCAAAGGACAAAGAGACACAGAGCAATGGAAGAGGAGAGAGAAAGTGATATGGAAAATTATAGAGGGGAAAGAGAAAAAAGGATAGATAGAGAGGATAGAAAAAGAGAAGATAGATACAGAGAAGATACAAACAATGATTGAGAAAGCAGGTTTGAAATAAGCAATGAGATGTGAGAATGAGATGTAGAGAGAAAGAGACAAAGAGAGAGGGGGAACAGAAAACGGAAAAGGAGAGAAAAGTAAGGGTGGAAAGGCAGAGAGATGGTTGGAAAATCTATAGAAAGAAGGGGAGAGAGAGAAAATAACAGAAAGACTAAGAGACACATAGACAGAGAGATGGGAAGCGAAGAGAAAGAGTGAGAGAACGAATGGCAGAATACGAGAGAGAAGAGAGATGGAGGGATGCGATGGGAAGGTAGAGAGAGATGGCAAGGGAAAACTAGAGAAAGAGGAAGAAAGAGACTGACAGACAGAAGGAGAGAGAGACAGAGAGAGAGAGAGAGAGAGAAGAGAGGGAAGGGGCAAAGAAATTAAAAGTGGATTCAGCCATAAATAAGTAAAAGAAAATGGTTCACAGGGCACATAAGACTTTCTCGAGTACACAATTTTGTAACAAAAACGCTCGCTACTTGCACAATCACAGAAAATTATATTCTGCTGTAAAAGGCATTAGAACATCAGGAAGAACTCAGTGTTTTAAGCTTTGGTTTTGGAGATTAAAAATAACATTTGAAGACATGATTTCTGCACAGACTGTTGCAGCCAGTACTTTATTGAAGACTCGGAGATGTGGTTTGACTGAAGAATCCATATAATTCCTTGGACGTAAGAAACGAGCAACCCAGATGTTTTTGAAGAGACGTGGGGTTGAAGGCAATCATTCACAACAATCAGAAAAAGACGGTCATTGTTATTTTATCTTGTTGTGAGACGAAGGAAACTGGAACCTGTTGGGACCACTGGAAAGATCTGGAGAAATAGAGACAGAGAAAGACAAAGCGAGATGACACTTGACAGCCTTTTGTCATGGCATGGGGTGGGGGGGGGGGAAGAGGGGGATCAACCCCCGAACTAATATATGCTGTTGAAGACCGCAGATTGTTGGCATGTATGATGGCCCACGCCAGTCGGCAAGGTACTTACTTGATGATGATGATGATGATGATGATGATGATGATGATGATGATATCATTTGGAAACTGCTTTCTCTAGATCAGTTCATGTTTGAGAAACTTGCCATATGTCATTACATAGAATAGCAATAACCAAGCTTGTAAATATATTAACTGATTCATTGCGGAGTAACAATGTCAGATGACAGAGAAGTGAAAACTGTATATACTCTCTCTCTCTCTCTCTCTCTCTCACTCTGTCTCTTACTCTCTCTCTCTCTCTCTCTCTCTCTTACTCCCTCTCTCTCTTACTCTCTCTCTCTCTTACTCTCTCTCTCTTACTCTCTCTCTTACTCTCTCTCTTACTCTCTCTCTCTTACTCTCTCTCTCTTACTCTCTCTCTCTCTTACTCTCTCTCTTACTCTCTCTCTCTTACTCTCTCTCTTACTTTCTCTCTCTTACTCTCTCTCTCTTACTCTCTCTCTCTCTTACTCTCTCTCTCTCTTACTCTCTCGCTCTTACTCTCTCTCTCTCTCTTACTCTCTCTCTCTTACTCTCTCTGTCTTACTCTCTCTCTCTCTCTTACTCTCTCTCTCTTACTCCCTCTCTCTCTTACTCTCTCTCTCTCTTTTTCTTACTATCTCTCTCTGGCTCTCTCTCTCTGGCTCTCTCTCTCTTACTCTCTCTCTTACTCTCTCTTTCTCTGGCTCTCTCTCTCTTGCTCTCTCTCTCTTGCTCTCTCTCTCTCTCTTGTTCTTTCTCTCTCTCTCTTGCTCTCTCTCTCTCTCTCTCTCTCTCAATCATTTACTCACTCCACTGCCCGCTAACTGAACCACAAGACACACAAACCTCCTCACCTCCGGCGTCTTTCCCATTCCTCCACCGCAAACTTCTGGCCTTGACAATCACCACAGTGAGCCTTTCGGCTGTAGGGAGATAACTCAGAGAGAACAGGATGTCCCCATACTCCGTGGGCTTCTGTCAATGATATGTGACCATTGTCTGTGTTACTGGATACATGTCATCATTATGTTCACATACAAGGCTTCTGTCAATGATATGTGACCATTGTCTGTGTTACTGGATACACGTCATCATTATGTTCACATACAAGGCTTCTGTCAATGTTAGGTGACCATTGTCTGTGTTACTGGATACATGTCTTCATTATGTTGACATACAAGGCTTCGGTCAATGATATGTGACCATCGCCTGTGTTACTGAATACATGTCGTCATTATGTTCACATACAAGGCTTCTGTCAATCATATGTGACCATTGTCTGTGTTACTGGATACATGTCGTCATTATGTTCACATACAAGGCTTCTGTCAATCAAATGTGACTATTGTCTGTGTTACTGGATACATGTCGTCATTATGTTCACATACAAGGCTTCTGTCAATGATATGTGACCATTGTCTGTGTTACTGGATACATGTCGTCATTATGTTCACATAGAAGGCTTCTGTCAATGATATGTGACCATTGTCTGTGTTACTGGATACATGTCGTCATTATGTTCACATACAAGACCTCTGTCAATGATATCTTACCATTGTCTGTGTTACTGGATACATGTCGTCATTATGTTCACACACAAGGCTTCTGTCTATGATATGTGACCATTGTCTGTGTTACTGGATACATGTCGTCATTATGTTCACATACAAGGCTTCTGTCAATGATATGTGACCATTGTCTGTGTTACTGGATACATGTCGTCATTATGTTCACATAGAAGGCTTCTGTCAATGATATGTGACCATTGTCTGTGTTACTGGATACATGTCGTCATTATGTTCACATACAAGGCTTCTGTCAATGATATGTGACCATTGTCTGTGTTACTGAATACATGTCGTCATTATGTTGACATACAAGGCTTCCGTCAATGATATGTGACCATTGTCTGTGTTACTGGATACATGTCGTCATTATGTTCACATACAAGGCTTCTGTCAATTATATGTGACCATTGTCTGTGTTACTGGATACATGTCTTCATTATGTTCACATACAAGGCTTATGTTAATTAGACACAAGAATGACCCGTATGCATTCCGAGGACCCATATAGAAAGAAAAAAACCAGAAGAGACCCACTGTCTTGTCAACAAGCATGTCGTAGGAGCCGACTAATTTATGACATCCTTCGAAGCCAGAGTACATCTGCTTGAAAGGCAAGGAACCAAGAGTCTGCATATAAATTAGCCAGATGTGTGAAACAGATGTGCATGCGACTTTCAGTTTCTAGAACAATACAAAATTACAGAGGATGACGAACACCCTGAAGCCCCCCCCCCCCCCCGCCCCCCTTTTTCCCTTTTCCCCCAGAGGTTACAGCCGGTGAACGCGAACAAGATGAAGATACAAGAGAGTGTGACTGATTTATTCTTACATTTTCATTACAAATATGCGATACATAGGATGAACACAGTAACAAGAGAAATGGACTGCAGATTCAACGCTGAGCGTCTGTAAATACAAGCTTTGTCACAAATTGTCCCATAATTCCATGCTCTACATGAAGAAGACTTTTTCTTGACGCGAGCAGTTTCTTGCTAGTCATACTCGCCATCCCCACTGGCTGTGAGGCGTCTGCCTTCCTATCGCACAATGTAACCCTAGAGACTGGAGAGATGTAGAGCTGCCAACAACTGATTTGGCGATTCCTGTATGCACTTTCATTACTGAATACAAAACTCTATGGCTAACTAATTTTTCATAAATTGATCATCATCATTTAGCAGGATTCTGCAGAACGTCACTCTAACCACGGCCTGTTTGTGTGTGTGTGTGTGTGTGTGAGGGGGGGCGGTGGGGGATTGTTTTCCTATAATAAACAAACTATCCTGTTATTACGAACAGAATATCTCATTATTGCAAACATAATATTTGATTATTACAAACATAATGTCTAATTTTAACCAACAGAACGTCTCACTATCTCGCAATATCTCATCATCACAAAAATAACATCTCATTATTAGAAACAGAAGATCTCATTTTTACAAACAGAACATTTCATTACAACAAACATAATATCTCGCGATAACAAACATAATATCACAATATTATGAAAAGAACATGTCATTATAAAAACATAATATCTCATTATTACAAACATAATAAGTATTGCAAAAACAATATCTCATTATCACAAACAGAACATGTCTTTATTAGAAACAGAAGATCTCGATTTTACAAACAGAACATCTCATTATAAGAAACAGAAGATCTCATTTATACAAACAGAACATCTCATTATAACAAACATAATATCTCGCTATAACAAACTTAATATCACAATATTATGAAAAGATTATGTAATTTTAATGAACATAATATTTCATTATTACAAACATAATAAGTATTACAAACACAAAATCTAATTATTACAAACACAGTATCTCATTATTACAAACACAATATTTCATTGTTACAAAGTATAATTTCCCCACAAACAAAATGCCCCACTATAGTCAACAAACAAATTACCTCATCGATGTCTCGCAGATTGAACCACATTTTCATGGGCAGGTGAAGGTCAATGTCACCGACCCTGACGTCTGCCTCGCCGATGACCTTCTGACGGGCGTACTTGTCCACAGAGAAGACCTGCAGCTGCAGCAGCTTGCCCAGCAGATGTTCTGGCTCCACGGAGAACACGAACCGTTCTTTGTAGACTGGGTCTGTGGTGTTCTTGACGGTCTGATCATACATAACCAAGTAGGTTAGTTTACGTATGTGTGAGACAGAAAGAGAGCGACACACACGCACGCACACATACTCACACAAAGAGAGAGAGAGAGAGAGAGAGAGAGAGAGAGAGAGAGAAGGGGAGAAGTTTATGAAGAATGAGGGATTAACATAAAAAGAAAGGCTGGATCGATGGAAAAAGGAAGAAGATTGTCAGAGGAACAAAAAGAAATAATGAAAAGAGGAGATGCCTGTTGTAATGGCACTTGATTATGTGTATTGTGCTAGTCTGGACTTTACGAAGCCTACTCAAGACTCGAATACTGTAAGAAATATCATAAAATCCCTTTTCCCTGTGTGGCTCCCATAGCACCATCTGAGGATGGGGAAAAAATGACCTACTGACCTGCAACAAGCATTATGTAAAAGTCGGAGTAAACTTGTATGTTAAGCAAGGTACTTACAGTCTGGTTATATAAGCCACATATGTAAAAAATATGTTCATACACAACTCAAGTTTTAAAACAAAACATCGGTGCAAGTCAAACTTTACGGGTCGCTGAGTGAATTACAAAAGACTTGAAGTTCATACTAGAAACAACATTGCAGATGAAGATAATTTTATTGAAGCTAACGAAAGAAGAAGAAGAATAAATAAAACCAAATTACAGAAGCGGACGAACAAGCAGAACTTTTTACCAGAGTTTAGAGTCGGTAAATGATGATAAATAATAGTAATAATATTGTCCATTGTGCTTGTTATAACAGTCGGCTCTGTGGCTAAGTCGATGCGAACGCTTCGTAATGCCGTGGTGCCGGGTTCGATCCCAGCTGCGGGCTATGCGTCTTGCAGTGGTTTCGACAGTGGTATCAGGGAGCCGACGCAAATAGTAAACTACTCGACATAAATTTGCCTAGAAAACCACACAACAGGTTGGGGTTGGTTCTGCAACGTCCTGTAAAGGATAAGCAACTAACCTAACTTATTATAACATTTCCTAGTCCTATTTTAAGCATGTCCTAAAATACCTATTGATTAGATTCTTTTTGTGAAATACTACCATTGATGGGAATTTGAACACATGATAAGGGAAAGACGGCGTCTGTGGCTTAGGCGTTGCGAACCAGCTTCGTAATGCCGAGGTACTGGGTTCGATCCCAGCTGTAGGCCTTGCGCCTAGCGTTGGTTTCGACAGTGGTATCGAGAAGCCGACTGTTTAGAAAGCAATGGCAAACTACTGGACGTATATTTGCCTAGAAAAACCACAACAAATGCCAGGGTTGGTTCTGCGACGTCCTATAAAGGATATGCAACTAACTAGAGATAAAGGAAAGTGTTCCAGCTACTGAGCTATCCCGAGTTCCACGTGGAGAGAGAAACAGGAGAGAAAGACAAGAGCAAAAGTGGACCAAGAAACGGCTGGCCCGACACAAGAAAAACATTGATTGCAACTGACTTTTGTCTGAAACTTGCTGTCAGTGCCGGGCATGAGGATTCCCTTGACGAACGTGTCCAGCGTACCAGTGTAGGGGTTGGGGGTCAAATCCCGGCACTGGTATATACTGATGATCAACTCACTGGCTTCTCTGAAATAACAACAAATAATTTAGTCGATGATAATGATGGTGAAAAAGAATTTGACAATGATGATGATGATGACGATGCTGGGCTTGATGATGATGAGTTTGCTGAGGATGGTGATGACGATGGTGATCTTGATAATGATGCTGATGAGTTTAATGATGATGATGACGATGATAATGATGATGATGGTGGTGGGTTTGCTGATGGTGATGAATTGTAATGATGATATTGAGTTCCACAATGATGATGATAATAATGTTGATGTGTTTGTTGATGATGATAATGATCATGGTGAGCTTGATAATGATGATGATGTTTGTCATAATGAGGATGATAATGATGATGATGATAATGATGACGAAGGGGGTTTTTGTGAAGCTGGATAGATTTGATCTCATAGACAACTATCTTAGGTAGAAAATTCAGACAGTTCAGACAAATTTCACACAACCTGGAGTGGGGTGATAAATGGTCTACGCTCCGTTGTGAGGAGAAAGGAACAAACAGCCAGTGGAATTAGGACATACAGATCTGTTGAGTCTGTTTCAACGTGTCAGCATTCTTCTATAGGATGACTCACACAGCATGGACTATGAGAACACGGAATGGCGTTGCACAGACGACCTCCCTAATGAGAGATCGCTTTAAACTTTGATTAGAATGATCAACTATATAAGTAGAAATAGAATATATGCCATGCTTTGCAACTGCAGGTGTTATATTATATTTTTTCCCACCCTCGTTAAGTTGTTTAGTTCTTATTTCAATAGATTAATGTTCATCCTTGGACTTCTTCTTCTCTGCGTTCGGTTTCATAATCTCAGATCAGACCATCTGGTGGGTTGCCTCTATGAACTCGCATGTCATTCATGGTTCCCCATAGCTTGCTCTGCACACTTTGCTCCTGGGGCCTGGTGTCTTTTCGAAGTTGCAGGTAGAGTGGGCAGGGCTCCAAATGTGCTCAGGTATTTGTGGTCCTGTTTGACAGGCCACTGTGGAGACTTTACAATCTTTACTTTTTGCATGTGGTAGTTGAGCCTGCAGTGTCCTGTTCGTAGACGGAAAACTTCTTTTTCTTTGCATTCACCAGCTGTAAACTGGTGGAAAGTTCTTGTTGTTCATCCACTTCTGGACTGCAGTCCTGATCCAGAACTTAAGTGTTGCGTGTGCACCCGTTTGACAGATCTGACATATTTGTGTACAGACTGTTGGTTCCTTGCCTCTCAGGCAGATGCACTCCGACTTTAAAGGAAGCTCCCAATTAGTGGACTCTTACGACATGCTTTTGGGTAGGCAGTGGGTCTATTCTTGTTTTCCCTATAACAGGGCCCCGGAACCCACACGGGGGAGACGGAAAACTGATGTTTGTTGCTTTCTGTTGAGCCTGCTGATGGGGGTCTTATGGATTTTAGTTTGTGCTCTCCAAAATTTCTTGTATTTTTCCCTTGATCAGCGTTCTGATTTCCGGTGATGACAGTGAATGTGTGTGTTGTTTCTCTCTATAAACTACGAGTCTACTTTCCACTTTCATTAAGCTATTTAGTTCTTAGTTCGGTCGATTAATTTCTTCATGTTAGCTTGACTGCAATCGCCCCCTTCCCCCCTCCCCCACCCCTTATTTTATAATGATAGTCTAAAGATGTTACTGTGAACATGATTCATCGCATTTATTTCCTAGTCAATTGTTTTTTAATAATGGAAAATAATTGTTTTTAAATTACCGAAAGAATATAGGAAAACAAATCCCTTTATGTGGATTCGAATTCAAGAGATTTATGTCAGCAGGCAGCGTCTTCTTGCAATGTTTCCCTTGGCAATCCAAACTGTCATAAAATACCGCGGCTTCCAAGACAAGTCAAGAAACTTGTCTACGCCTCCAGTCGTAATGGGCATGTAGGGCTAGACCTATATTTTATAGGCCAATCAGCAGTCGGCGGGTGATATGGTCAACAACACGCTGGTCTCCTTTACTTCCCAGAACTTTACCTGGTACCTATTTAAGGCTAGATCGACCTGGAAGCCAAGTTGAAACATCCAACCCCCTCACCCCCAAAAATCCGGCTCCCTCAAGATCTGAACCCACGACCTTCGGATCAGCAAGCAAGCATCTAGTCGCTACCCCACGAACGGCTCAACAGATAAATGTTAAATAGATTTTAGAGAGGCCTTCAGTCTAAGTTAGGTGAAACTACGCACAAGTGACGGTAGATATCAGTGACTCACTTGTCGTACTGTAGAGCGAACTCGATCTGCCCGATCTTTGCCATGTCCGGCTGCATCTCCAGGACACTGGAGTCTGAGGCCACACTCTCGCACGACTCCGCCCTCCTGATCCCGTGGCCAAGATCAAGGTCAGATGCTGCAATAGAAGCAACAGTTGCCCACGTTAGACAAAACAAACTACAGGTTGCATTACAAACGATAGATTTTGTGTGCCCTCTCTCCCCCGCCTTCCTCCCTTCCTTTTCCACTCACAACTATTACATGCACGCAACACTCAAGTCTTGGAACAAAGCCAGATTCCAGAAGAGGACCCACCACGGAGACTTTTAGCCGAAGTTTACAGCTAGTAAACGCAAACTAATAGAAAACATGTATCTATAGACCGTTTGAATAGTCCCGCTCTCAAACATTAACTATAATTCCGACAACTCCTCTGCTAAGACAAATGAGAATGTTGCAATTGTTTATATGCCTTTATAATTCCATAAATTATTATTGTACTTCTGCTGCTGTTTTCTGAAAGTGGTCAGTTTCTGTGATCTTTGTATGACTATTCATTTGTTTATGCATTAAGAAAAAATTCTCTCTCTCTCTCTCTCTCTCTCTCTCTCTCTCTCTCTCTCTCTCTCTCTCTCTCTCTTTATATATATATATATATATATATATATATATATATATATATATATATATATATATAAATGCACATAAAATCATAACTAGCACAGTACGTGGCGACAGCACTAGCCATGCGTCCTAAATTATTAGGCTCAATGACAAGAATAGGACCAAACCAATAGACAGACATAGATAGTGTTAGTAATCAACTGTAGTTAGGCGTGAAGAGGTTGGTAAAGAACAATAACCAACTGAAGCTAGGCGGGAAGAGGTTGGTGAAGAACAATAACCAACCGAAGCTAGGCGGGAAGAGGTTGGTAAAGAACAATAACCAATTGAAGCTAGGCGGGAAGAGGTTGGTAAAGAACAATAACCAACTGAAGCTAGGCGGAAAGAGGTTGGTGAAGAACAATAACCAACCGAAGCTAGGCGGGAAGAGGTTGGTAAAGAACAATAACCAATTGAAGCTAGGCGGGAAGAGGTTGGTGAAGAACAATAACCAACTGAAGCCAGGCGTGAAGAGGTTGGTAAAGAAAAAACATCTACTGAAGCCAGGCGTGAAGAAGTCGGTAAAGAACAATCATTAACTGTAGCTAGGCGTGAAGAGGTCGGTAAAGAACAATCATCAACTGTAGCCAGGCGTGAAGAGGTCGGTAAAGAACAATCATCAACTGAAGCCCGGAGGAAAGAGGTTGGTAAAGAACAATCCTCAACTGAAGATAGGCGTGAAGAGGTTGGTAAAGAACAATCAACAACTGAAGATAGGCGTGAAGAGGTTGGTAAAGAACAATCACCAACTGAAGATAGGCGTGAAGAGGTTGGTAAAGAACAATCATCAACTGCAGCCAGGCGGGAAGAGGTCGGTAAAGAACAATCCTCAACTGAAGCCTGGCAGGAAGAGGTCGGTAAAGAACAATCCTCAACTGAAGCCTTGCAGGAAGAGGTCGGTAAAGAACAATCATTAACTGTAGCCAGGCGTGAAGAGGTCGGTAAAGAACAATCACCAACTGAAGCCAGGCATGAAGAGGTCGGTAAAGAACAAACATCTACTGAAGCCAGGCGTGAAGAAGTCGGTAAAGAACAATCATCAATTGAAGACAGCTGTGAAGAGGTCGGTAAAGAACAATCATTAACTGTAGCCAGGCATGAAGAGGTCGGTAAAGAACAATCATTAACTGAAACCAGGCGTGAAGAGGTCAGTAAAGAACAATCATTAACTGAAGCCAGGTGTGAAGAGGTCGGTAAAGAACAATCATCAAATGTAGCCAGGTGTGAAGAGGTCGGTAAAGAACAAACAGTAATTGCAGCCAGGCGTGAAGAGGTCAGTAAAGAACAATCATCAACTGAAGCCAGGCATGAAGAGGTCGGTAAAGAACAATCAATAACTGTAGCCAGTCGTGAAAGGGCGGTAAAGAACAATCACCAGCTGTAGCCAGGTGAGAAGAGGTCGGTTAAGAACAATCATCAGCTGTAGCCAAGTATGAAAAAATCGGTAAAGAACAATCATAAACTGTAGCCAAGCATGAAGAGGTCGGTAAAGAACAATCATCAATTGTAGCCAGGTGTGAAGAGGTCGGTAAAGAACAGTCATAAACTGTAGCCAGGCGGGAAGAATTCGGTAACGAACAATCTACGATCGCTTTGTCCTGTCCGTGCTGCTACCTAAAGGTTTACACTATCATTATCAGCTTTAAAAAATGTTTCATCTGGACGACAAACCGACAAGTTGAGTTAGTTGCGTATTATTTAAAAAATGTTGCTGAATTTATTTTTATTTTTTTTTTGTGAGGAGGGGGGGGGGGGGAATATTACGATTTTTCTATGCAATTTTACATTCAGTAGTTTGCCATTGCTTTGTGAACTGTCAGCTCTCTGTACCACTGTCGAAACCAATGCAAAACGGTCTGCTGCCAATTCGTCTATTGATGGGATCGATCCTGCTACCTCGGAATTACGAAGATCGTTGGCAACGCCAAAGTCAGAGACCAAACATATCCCATATTCCACATTCAAGCTGAAAAGAACTTTCCTGTCAACACCCATATTTACTGAAATGGCCAATCAAATTTGCTTACCTTTTTTACCCCTCACAATCATTAAAAGTTAGACAATACATCATAATCTGAGCTCAGCTAAAGCTTTTTAACTCATCCGAATATTGCTTGAAATCACGTCTGCAGTTCTTGAAGCTATATTTCCTAATAAGACCATCGGAGCTATTGCAGACTCAGCATGACCGTGATCTGGCCCCACGTCTGCAAGGATGAGAGCACCCCGATGTTGCCAAACCCATCTTGTTGGTCGCTAGCGGAAGAGTACAAGTTACGGAAGCAAGTGACGTTCACACCACCGGGCCGGTAAAACTTGCGATTAACAACGGTGACACAAAGTGCCACAATTCAGATGTAAAATCCCGCTCAACAGTTAGATTATATTAGGCTCCCAACCAAGATGGTGGCTTCAAGATAACCACACATACACACACATAAAGTGGGTATGTCCTCGGGCCGTACGTTAACCCGTAGTGGTTACACCGGCGAGCTGATGCAAGGGGTGGGGGGGGGGCTACGTGATCTTGAGGTATGGCGTCAGCCTAGAGTGCTGGAAGTCCCGAGTTCAAGCCCCGGTGAAGGTTGGAAATTTTTAACGTTGACTTCTAGTAAATTTCCCTGGTCTCTGTGTAGTAGGATGAGACGCCCGTGTGCATTGTTGCGCACGTAAAGAATCTCTTCTCCTTCTTCTTCTTCTTCTTCTTCTTCACTTCCTCTTTTACCGCTGTGAGTGTCGAGGGAGATATAAGGTTCTTTTTCTAGCTCTTCTGGCCGCAAAAATTTCTTGCCAGTTGGAAATCGAGAACAGTAACCTAGCAGCGCTACCCAGGCAACATTTGGGGTTCTTTCGTATTATCCTACCCCAGATAACGTCACAGAACTGTCCACCATTTTAGAGTGTGGTAAGACTGGCCCTAACCCCAACCCACCTACGTCCCACGAAAGAGTGCAACCTATCTCCCACTCCCTGAAATATAAGACTGTCGCGTTACCTGCGGATTTCCCCTGTTTTTTTTTAAGTTGCGCATCCTTTACAGGACGTTGCAGAACCAACCCTAACAGCCCCTGGCTGTTGTGTGGTTTTTCTAGGCAATTTACATCCAGTAGTTTGCCATTGCTTTCTGGATACCACTGTCGAAACCAACGCAAGGCGCATGGCCCGCAGCTGGGATCGGACCTGGCATCCCGGCATTACGAAGCGAAGCGTTCGCATCGACTTAGCCACAAAGCCGATTTCCCCTGTTTGGGGTAGGATATTAGGAAAGCAGCAAATTTGAAGTTTAAAATCCACCCACGTTATTTTCGGGATCCTTGCCGGTGTTGCAGAGCTCATGGACTCATGCTTGAGTTACAAGTAGAACGGCGCACTTACTGTTTACTACCGTTGTGCCATGATGTTGATCCGTTGTTTAAACCTAAACCTACGAGCCGAAGCCTTAAGTTCTATGTGGTTAAGGACGTCTACACATAACGTGGTGTTGGTTGGTTCAGGGCCTGTGCTTCCTTGGAAGGTTAAAGGCAAAACAAGGAGGAGGAGGAATCGAGAGAAAGAAAGAGGATAAAGATGAAGATGTAGAGAAGTAAGCGGAGAAGGAAAACTGTTTATTCTAGTTAGATGCAACTCTTCTTACATCTTTTGTTTCCCTTTCTCACCGTAGAATGTGTTCGATTATTTCCCCTGTTTGTAATACGCTAAGGTTTTAATACACCCATTTATTTACAATTATACTCAGCATAATTGTGCCCCCTGAATTGACGTCTCTCTTTTTACTCCTCTGAGAATATCCCGTCTTCCTGAGAGTCGATTTTCTGGCACAAACAAGAATATTTGACAGGAAGTTAACTGCTACGACAAAACTGTTCACTTCTATGATTGTTATAAACTGGTGAAATCAATGGAGCCAGGGAGAAACCATTGAGTGAATACTAACCACAATTGTTGCTCCTGAAATGCTAACACGCTCAACAAGGCTATCCTCTGGAACAAACCTCTAGGTCATCACTGTTATGCATTCCTTAGTCACACAGGACCAGAGAGTACACACTAAAGGGGTGCCTCTATTGTTGCGTCACAATCGAGGTCACTGCACATCGGTCATTCCCATGTGTGCGCAATCCTCTGATACAGCAGCATTTTCTTCATCTTCTTCTTCGCGTTCACCGGCTGTAAGCTCCAGTGGAAAGTTATGGTTGTTCATCCACCTCTGGATTTTAGACTTGTTCCAGAACCTGAGTGTTGCGTGCTCATCCGTTTTACAGATCTGACTAATGTGTATACAGTCTGTTGGTTCCTTACCTATGGGACGATGCAATCCGTCTTCAAAGGAAACCCTTAATTTGTCGACTCTTTCGACATGCTTGTTGGGGAAGCAGTGGGTCTATTCTTGTTTTCCCCCCCAATAGGGCCCTGGAACCCACACTTTGAAGTAGCAATTTCGAGGTACCTCTACTTACTGTTTCCATGAGGAGTTGATTACAATGTTTCCTATTTAGACCTCAAATGTTACATATAAGTGCTTCACCACGGTTTACTCTCAGATGATACAGCTGTATTTGTGTCAGCGATTCATTATCGGCTAGCCCCATATGAACATAGTTAATGATGTCTGCTCTGTCGATTCTTCCTCCCCTGTTGCTTGTCAGTTGGTTCACTCGCTCATTGGTGTATAATAATATATAATCGCCTAATGATAATTCCTTAGGAGTTTTAACTGAGTTGGTTTTGCTCTGTTAGACTCTCTTTCCAGGTGCGATTTTGCTGGTGAAGGAGGAAATCGTTTACGCGCATGTTAGAGATGAAATAAAGACAGACAGATACGTCATCAAAATCATTCTCCTCCTTGTCGTTATATAGTCATCGTTATTTGTTTGGTCTGTCTGATGAATGATGTTAAATTCGGTCACTCCACTGTCCTCTGTCATCATCATCATCTTCATCATCAAGTTAGTAAGTCCAGAGCCTGGCGATGACATCTTCTGGTCATGTCAGTATGTCGACTGTTCTATCTTCGTCATCATCATCATCATCATCATGATAGTCTTCGTCATCCTGATCATCATTATACGTGTCATTTATCCGAGAACTAGTGATGTTCTGCATATATCAGAAGTAGGATTACTAAATAATTCAGTAACAACAAAATTGAGTTCTAATGTGAAGAAGAACGACAGCGATGACACTAACAATGTAAAAAACAAAAACACACACACACACAGCGCAAAAAGACAAGAAATACGTCACCTATAGATGAATTGCAGACAGATACCGGACTGCTTCTGGCGCTGTCGTCCTGTGTCTGCTGCTGCTGCGGCGGCGGCTGCTGCTGCTGTTGCTGATGATGATGATTGCCCTGGATGTTTTGTTGCACAGAGGAGTCTGGTAATAGGTCAAGGTCACAAATCTTGGGTCCTGGCTTCAGCGTACCATAATGTGAATATTTACCGCCTAAATCCAAAGTGAATTCAGAGCTCTCCGACCCAACCTGGAAGACGGAAGTAGAAAATGTTATTCGTCTCATAATTATTAATATGCGGGTCGTGACCCTTTTTGTTTCGGTGGAACGACTCTTTCACAAGGGTCGCCTAAGACCACCGGAAAACACATATCATTAAAGTTATGAAGGAAAATAATTGTCTGGAGGTCGCTACAATATGAGGAAACTGTAATAAAGGGTCGCTACAACATGAGGAAACTGTAATAAAGGGTCGCCACAACATGAGGGAACTGCAATAAAGGGTCGCCACAACATGAAGGAACTGCAATAAAGGGTCGCCACAACATGAGGGAACTGCAATAAAGGGTCGCCACAACATGAGGGAACTGCAATAAAGGGTCGCCACAACATGAGGGAACTGTAATAAAGGTCGCCACAACATGAGGGAACTGTAATAAAGGGTCGCCACAACATGAGGGAACTGTAATAAAGGTCGCCACAACATGAGGGAACTGTAATAAAGGGTCGCCACAACATGAGGGAACTGTAATAAAGGTCGCCACAACATGAGGGAACTGTAATAAAGGGTCGCCACAACATGAGGGAACTGTAATAAAGGGTAGCCACAACATGAGGGAACTGTAATAAAGGGTCGCCACAACATGAGGGAACTGTAATAAAGGGTCGCCACAACATGAGGGAACTGTAATAAAGGGTCGCCACAACATGAGGGAACTGTAATAAAGGTCGCCACAACATGAGGGAACTGTAATAAAGGGTCGCCACAACATGAGGGAACTGTAATAAAGGTCGCCACAACATGAGGGAACTGTAATAAAGGGTCGCCACAACATGAGGGAACTGTAATAAAGGGTAGCCACAACATGAGGGAACTGAAATAAAGGGTCGCCACAACATGAGGGAACTGTAATAAAGGGTAGCCACAACA